ATGGGTATGAATGAATACAGCAGCATGAGATCAGCAGTTTGGATAATCAGCAGCACAGATAAGTCAAATTGAGGTGAGAGGAGAGAAACCCTGATACATAAAACATACGACGTACAAACTCTGTTAGTGTGTCTAGATTTATGTGAGCTACATTTTTAACCCTAAATTTAACATCTAATGTAATTTACAGATTTTTGTCATTGTGGTGGTTAAAGACAAGGCCCTAATTGTACTTTGCTGTTCAAACCATGAGTCACACATTCATTAACACAAGGCTTAAACTGCTGATACAAGGAGGAATGATTGTGTGAAAAGTGAACAAAGAACTAAAGTTCAATATGTTAATAATTCTTCAAATAAATTATATTCTCATTTTCAAACAAAGGCAGGTAGTTTTTATCGTAAAGCACCATAAAGGTTATTGCTGCGGGCAGGAGTGACCTTCTGTTCTGCTCCTTATTGCAGCAGAAGAGACTCTGACTCTGAGTAAAGGTATTCCAGGTTCATACTGTGCACAAGTTTTAATGTGGTGTTCATTATTATGAGTAGTTTGGGAATGTTACGTCTTCCTATGTTCAGTTCAGAGGTTCCAGAGCATTCCCCAGCACAGAGCTCGCTTCCTTCATCTGTTTATACAGGGTTTTTTTTTTTTTTTTTGAGCCACTGACTCAGATGCTGCTGCTCCAACAGATGGCTGTGGAGAATGTTGCCACTCACAGAGAATTATGCAACATCTTTTGACAAGGTGAACACCCAGGTGTTTGAAGTGTTCCTCTGCGAATAACTCGACCAATTCCACCAATACTGAGACAAAATTTGTTGTGATAAAAGTACTGATGTATTGATACCAATATTATATTCATACCAGCCTCAAGTACTTGTACTCATAAAAACACCCCACCTCTTTGGACCAATTTCACTTTGATCTTGGTGATGCCATTTCCTCTTCCACTTTGCAAGTAATTCAAGATTTTTTTTAAGTCCATAGTTTTAAGATATTTTAAAATAATCACATGTGGTTTTAAGACAACAGATTATTTGCTGTGTTCTTAATAAAAGAAACATGTTTTTAAAGTCATAGTGCAACATTACACAAATGCACTACTCAGTATGTATAGGTACTCAGTATAGTACAAGTAACCAAACCGAAGTACTTGCACTTGGTCTGAAAAAAAAAAAATAAGGACATGACAATTTCCTGCGGGATTAATAGTTATTTTCTTATTTTAGCTAAACCATGAGATGGAAGCGATTTGTGAGAATCTCAGGCTACTTGTGGTTTCTGGGACTCACCAACATGTTGGGGACGACCTTGGAGGGTGCTAATAAGCACGGACCAGTGGAATGCCCACAACTCTGGCCAGTTTGGATTAAAAGTGCCAGCAGAACTCAAGGCTGACGAGAAATAACAGTCTGCCTGAAAAAATAAAAAATAAAAAAAATCAACAATTGTAGATTATCTGAATCTGACTCCCCCGTTTGGCCTCGACGCAGGACGACATCAAATTTCTCCTGGGATGTGTGTAAACTGAGGGAGCTGTCTATGCCAAACACCTCTCCCCCCCAGAGAACTTCTGTGAATGCTTATCAGAACTGTACCGACTGACACCAACATGTTAACAGGACTATGGTGCTATCTGGAAGCCCTTCGTGGACAAATCTCACCGTCTTGTCATCAAATGCATATGTGCTTGCTGGTAGAGTTTTTTGCTGTCTTAAATTTTGTTCCGATAAGGACAAGGTGTGAATAAATCTGCTTTGTCATACCACTATCCTCTCCTCCTGGCCTTTTCCCCTTTTCCTATGTAAAAAGAATAAGGGGCCACGCTCTTAGGAGCAGCATCAACGTGCACTCTGCCCATATTTCAGACGACTGTACGAACACAAACTCACTGTATTCCAGTACAATGATAATAAAGATTATTCTGATTCTGATCTTAGATAAAGACTAAAAGTCATTTTCAACACATTCTCAGAGCAGTATCTATTGCATACATTTTTCCTTGAATTGATGGCATTAACGCTTATAGTCAAAACTTCTAACAGATAAGCATTTCTTCACATAATCGTAGTCGTTTAATTTCATTTGTAATCCAAAATAAAAGTTATTGTTGTTTTACTTTTCCCCAAATCAGCCTTTGTTTCCCTCATGGACACGACTATTTGCAGAGTTATCTGAGACTTCTGAGCATGACAATATGTACTGCATGCTTGAGGCATACAGAGGGGTGGGAAGCGGGGAGTGTTCAGTCCCCTGCAGAGCTCTGGTGCTGCTGACCTCCTTTTCAATCACACAACTCACACACTGTAGTCTCTCAGGTAGTAAATAATCAAGATGGTTGTGAAGGCATGAAGCTTCTTCCATCTCCTGGGCAAAACAGCAGTCGGTCCTAAAACATGGTTACCCACAATAAATAGATCATTATTTCTCATCATTATTATTATCATTAGATCATCATTACTTTATATGGAATGCTAATTGTGTTAGATGCATCTGTTGATGAAAGCAAATTTTTTTTTTTGTCAATTAAACAAGACAAAATATCTTCAACCATTGCCAAACCTAGTTAAGATTTGAATACAGAGCCTCAAAGGGGACTTTTAAGGGGTGAAAGTTAAATGTTTGCTACAGCAACCTTCACAGATGAGTCTCACAGGGGAACAGTACATGTGAATTGACAACATCTGGATCTGCAGCCTTGTTCAGACCCTCCAGCTGCCTTGTTCACCTGACTGCTGGAAACTGACGTTTGAGACAGTAAAGCAGGGGTTGTGTTTCCTGATGCTGGAGGAGGTATTTGACTGGCTCTCAGCTGAGATGCAACAGGAAAGCCGTCGGTCCACGAGAAATGTGTGGCAGAGGAGAAGAAGGCTTAGCATCTTGTTAAAAGTGAACTTGTCTAAAAACGTGTATCAAAACATAGGTAACACGAACAAGTGAGCTGACGTTTTTGCGGTAAGAAAAAAGTTCAGGAACTTTGTAACAATGTGGTTTTCTCATGCGTCAGCTTCTCTAGAGTGTCCATAGTACATCTTGTTTGGATTTAATGCTTTGATTTAGCTAGAACACTGTAGGTCAGGCCAGCAATGTAAATGACAATTTGTTCTTATTTTATACCTGGTTAAATACAGGTGAAATGAAAATGAAAAGGTCATTTATGTGTGCATTTAACTATTCAGTCATTACTATTTAGTGTCGTAGCTTTGGGTGGGTCTTGTGTGACTTAACACTTCTAAGTTATATTTTACTTATGGATAAAAGCAACGTAATTATATTTGGAACACTTGGCACTTTGTGGAGTATGGTTGTGGGTTAAATTTCTATTAAATAGTATTGTAATGGTGATGTGTTTCAAATTCAAACCATTTAAAAGATCCAATGGCTACAACTGAAATGGCACGTAAGAAGTCCAACGTCCAAACCAAGATTATTTCCTTTGATTATTGTTTTACTCATTTTCATCAAGTGACAAAAACATTTGTTCTTCCTGCTCCTTTTTCTCTGCTCTGATAAAAAAAAAAAAAAAAAACATAAGCCCACCCCATTGCATGCTGGTCCTACACCTGCTCACCTATTTATGGGTTCCCAAAGTCTTCTCCAATCTTTTGTAATACAACATAAAAAAAATAAAAAAATCCTGAAGGAATTAAACCAATTATAATTATTTCAAATATGATCAAGATAAAATGGCTCCTACAAGTAAATAGTTTGATTTAGATTTGTTGTATAAATTCTATACCATACCATTTTATTTATAAAGCACTTAAAACAGCGACAAGGCCAACCAAAGTGTTGTACAGACAGAACAACAGGTAACACACAAAGCAAAATACAAAATGAATTAAATCAGAATATAGACATAAAAACGATGCAGATAATAAATATGACGACTAACCAGTGTGGAGCGTACAGGTTCAAAACACAGATCATCTGGTGTTGAATGCTCCTGAATAGTAGTGGGTTTTTAAATGGGACTTGAAAACCGAGAGGGAGGGGGCCTGTCTGACAAGCAGAGGCAACTCGTTCCAAAGTCTTGGTCCTGCTACAGAGAAGGCCCTGTCACCTCTGCGCTTAAGACGAGTTCCTGGAACTGTGAGGAGCAACTGGTCCGCTGACCTCAGGGGTCGTGGTGGGACATACGGTTGTAGCAGATCAGAGAGATGGGGGGGCGACACTGCTCAGCGATTTGTAGACATACAGTAGTAGTTTGAACTGGACTCAAAGGTGAACCGGTAACCAGTGCAGTGAGGCCAAAACTGGTGTAATGTGCTCTCTTTTGCCTGTACTGGTTAAAAATCTGGCTGCTGCATTCTGGACCAGTTGTAGTCGTGCAATGGAGGTTTGACTGATACCAAGATCTATGTCTTATTAGATTATTGCAAGTTACCAGTAGTATGATGCTAGCTAACTGATGCTAAGTGCCATTAGAGTCAGCTAACTAGCACCAACTGGTGCTATTATAGGAACCCAAACATTGTATAGTGCAAACTAAAGTTGTTCACAAAACCATCCATGATAAACATATTATTACAAGTTGTTAATAGAATCATAACTGTACTTATTACACTTTAAAGCAGATTTCCATTCAAGATTGTTCAACTTTTAGTTGAAAATGGTGACATGTATAGAATGGCATGACTCATCTCTGAACCAATCACTAGCAATGATGCCATTGTTTTGCTTCCAAAGTTTCTTTCATATTAATTTTTTCAAGAAAATTATTTTTATACCTTTTAAAATGCACAAAAATGTGTATGTGCTTTCTTGTTTCACTCTCCTGATACCTCAGTGATTTAAAGTGGACAAAAATAAAACCTGGATGTGATTTTTTTCCTGTTTTTGTATACAAAGTAGCAGCATTTTCACAGAAATCTGATGTTAGCTGAGATTGGTTTGACGTGTAAGGTCAAACCCTGCTGGAATTGAGGGCTGTGAACACTGTAGATGCTACACGCTGATGACAATGTTCTGTTCTTTTTCTGTTTTCATCCATCTGTAGCCATGGGGGTGCTTATGTCAAAAAAACAGCAGGTGGAGAAGGTCCAGAAATGCAGCGCTGTTGTCTCGGCCTTCCAGGCGGGCCTGAAGGATCGCACAGCCAAACAGGTGGAAGGAGAGGAATGTGAAGAGCCCACCAAGACTTCATCCAATCCTGACGAGAAAAACACAGAGGAGGAGAAACAGGAGGAGACAGAAAACAGTGCTGGTCCATCAACCTCCCAGCAGACTTCGGCTCCAGTAAGGGATGAATGTAAAGTCAACCAGGAGGCTTGGTCCAGGTTACGGGACGGGAAGGGAGTGGAGCCTGAAGAGCTGGACAAGAGCCATCAGCTCACGCCTCCTGCTTTTGTGCGACCAAAAAGGGAACCCAATGATGACCAGCCTATTGAGGTGGAACTGGACATGACAGAACAGGTATCAGCATTTAAGAATGATTTTTTATTATTTTAACTCATCTGATGAGAGTCAGGGTTTCTGAAAACACTTTGCATGTACAAAATAATTTCTCTAGTTTTGCTTGTTTGAAAGTTGGAGGATTTTTATAATGAATGACTCTATTATTAATCTTGAATGTTTTATCATTTGATTGCACTTCTTGATCATATTATTACCAAATAAGGTATTCTGAAAACATTTTATCTTCATCTGCTTGAGTTCACATCTGGGATTTCTGAGTGCTGGATGAGTGCATAAAAACGTCTATAACTCATGTTCAAGTATAACATTTATTGTTTCATTGATTAAGAATGTAATAAAAAGAAACAACCTTTGCTTTAGCTGGTGCAATAAACACTCACTGTGTGTTTAGTTACAGTTCAAGAGAATTTGCAGGGGAATAAAGCTGTTGAACAACATCCTCTACCAAACATGTGTACAGTTTGGATAGTTGATAATCTGTGACATTTTTTGAGGAGTAAAAATTGACATTTCTGTCAATTAGAAGTTTGCACCATTTGCTTTATCCATTTTATGAACAAATACTAGTATCAAACTGTCTATTAAGCTTTGATACATTAGTAAACAGAAAAAAAAAATCAGATTAACTGGAGTGTCAAATGCTTGGTGTTCCTTTATTTATCTACAGTTTCACAAAACCAAACACGTTTCATTTGTTTTTGCCTCAAACACAGTAAAAAGCAGTAAATATCAAGTTCATGTAGGTTTAGGTGTGTGAAGTGGAACAAAATTATATAAACAGGGTCCCAGTTACATCCACAATAGCAAAAATATGAAGTGTAAAAAGAAACTGAAAATAAGGATTTAAGATCTACGCTAAATGGATGCCAAGCGGTACGCTGAGATCAAAAATATATGTTAAACACTAATAATGTAAAATAATAAAGGCATATCAGCAGCAGCACAAACATGAGTCATTAAATATATATACATATATATATATTGTATGTATTACCAACGGGCAGCACGGTGGCACAACTGGTAGAGCTGCTGCCTCTCAGCGAGCAGGTCCCTGGTTCAAACCCCGGTCCAGGGGCATTTCTGGGTGGAGTTTGCACGTTCTCTCTGTGCATGCGTGGGTTTTCTCCGGGTACTCCGGTTTCCTCCCACAGACCAAAAACCATTCATGTTAGGCTGATTGGTAACTCTAAATTGTCCCTAGGTGTGAGTGAGAGAGTGAATGGTTGTTTGACTCGTTTGTCTCTGTGTGTCCCTGCGATGGACTTGCGACCTGTCCAGGGTGTACCCCGCCCCTCGCACAGTGATTGCTGGACATGGGCACCAGCGACCCCCGTGACCCAAAATGGAATAAACGGGTAAAGATAATGGATGGATGTATTACCAACTTCTAAGATAAAAGAGAAGACTCAAAGTATCTAACTGCAGCACATCCTCATTTTTTCTCCTGTCAGCCATTACATTAAAGAAGTCAAGAATTTTAAAAAAGGTGAGAAAATATGAGTTTGAAGTTATTTTGAGCATGTATTAACTGCATGGCTGATAATGGTACAGACAAACTATACAAATAAAATTAACAGAATAATTTCCTAACATTTTTTTTTTTCCCAGAAGCAAGATGCTCTCGAGTAAGACAGATGCTTTTCTTTCCTCTCCCATCTCCCTCCTGCTTTTTTGCTTTCTGTCTTGTGTAACAGAGCTTCTATTTACACATCTTCCAAATCGTAAACTACTGTCATGGATCTGGTCAGCTGGACTTTCAACACAATTGATAACACTTTTTCAACAAAGCTACAGTGTCCTGGAGAACCGCCATGCCCCACTGAGACGCACGCGGCAGGATATGTCATGGATCCGTGGGGGGATTGGAAGTTGATGTGCCTTTCCGTATTGACTAAGGAGGACGCCAAAAAATGTTTATATCATTGGAATCATGATAGCAGGGTTTCTGCTTTTTGGCACCCATGGATACCTATGTTATTGGCTATTAAAGAAGACGGTGGCAGCAGTTTCGGCCATGGCAAAGCTGCCGAGCGTATGTGAAAGTTTGGTTCGTGCTTCGAGCACCCAAAATCAGCTGATTTATGGGCTCAACCGTAAGATGAAGGGATTTGTGAGAATCGCAGACCACTTGCGGCTTCTGGGACTCGCCAGCATGTTGGGGACGACCTTGGAGGATGCTAATAAGCACGGACCAGTGGAATGCCCATGAATATGGCCATATTGAATCATCGAAAGTACTACCAGAACTCAAGGCTGACGAGAAATAACAGTCTGCCTGGAAAAAAAAACAAAAAAAAACAACTGTGGCTTATCTGAATCTGACTCCCCATTCGGCCTTGAAGCAGCCCAACATCAAATTTTTCCTGGGCTATATATAAACTAAGAAAACTCTGCTCTATCCGCACAAAGTGTTGAAAATACAGTGACTCACGGTGTTGAGTCTTCAAAGGTTTTTTGTGGCCCATAAATACAGTTTCTCGTGCATTGCCATTTCAGGGTTTGGAAGGTCAAGCAAATCCAATAAAACACTATCAGAATGATTGTTACTCATATTTTAATTCTCTCGTGTCTTTATTTCTTATATTATTGTGTATAGGAGGTTGCATTTTTTTAAATGTTGTGTTAAATAGTGTTAATAAATGTACTTATTTTGGTCAATGAAGACACTAAAACAAAGTATTTTTTAAAGTGTCAGTTTAATAATAATAATAAAAAAAACATTAAAATGGTGTATGTTCATTACGTTTTTTACCTTCTAGACCACAATTAATTTAGCTATTAGTTTTGCATTATCCTAAAAATCAAACTCAAAGCCATCCATTCATCCATCCAGTATCTTTACCCGCTTATTCCATTTTGGGTCACGGGGGTCGCTGGTGCCCATGTCCAGCAATCACTGTGCGAGGGGCGGGGTACACCCTGGACGGGTCGCAAGTCCATCACAGGGACACAGAGACAAACGAGACAAACAACCATTCACTCTGTCACTCACACCTAGGGACAATTTAGATTTACCAATCAGCCTAACATGCATGTTTTTGGTCTGTGGGAGGAAACCGGAGTACCCGGAGAAAACCCACGCATGCACGGAGAGAACATGCAAACTCCACCCAGAAGGCCCCTGGACCGGGGTTTGAACCAGGGACCTGCTCGCTGAGAGGCAGCAGCTCTACCAGTTGCGCCACCGTGCTGCCCAACTCAAAGCCATATTTTAGTAAATTAATAATACATAAAATCTCTTACTTTTTTTTGTCTAGAGTCAACAGTCTGAATTCCCTCGCGGACAGATTGTCTAACAACGAGATGTTACTGCCATATTTAAACTATATTAATTATCTGCCCTCTTCTTAACATGCAGCTTTTAACTTCCTCTTCAAACAAGGCCATTTGGGAAATCTATAAACACTTGTCTGCCAGAATAGTTGGAAACCATGCATAATCCAGCCTGAGGAAGAGGAACAAAAGACAGTTATTCCATCTAACACGCATTTTACCACTCTGCAGCGGTTTCTAATGGAAAAGTCGGGGAAATTACTTTATATGCAATTTTACGCAGGTTGATATCTGAATTGTCTTATTATTCACCTTTTGAATTGAGGATAAACTCTAAAATGAAAATGGCTCATTGTAATTGTGTCTTTCCGCCTTTTCTGAAAGCCACCCAGCGCTGAGATGTGCGACGTGTGCGAAGTGTGGACGGCCGACGACCTGTACCCCTGTAAGATTTGTACACGGGTGTTCCACGACGGCTGCCTGAGGGAGTTAGGCTACCTGTGTGCCGAGGCCTTGCAGGAGATGAGAGATACAGCCCACACTGTCCCCGGCTGGAGCTGCTACTATTGTGTGAGTCGGCAGCTACTGGACACCAACCATGCAGCTTCTTCCAATGCAAATGTGGAAAATATTTCAACAAATGCAGTGGGTTGTTTTTGGCATTAATGATTTAATATTTTTGGAACACTTCTACTGTCTGTTGGGACATAGTTTTATTGGTTTGTGCATTTTTAACTGACTAAATTATTGCAGAAAAAAAACCCCAATGTCATTACTTTTTACTTTTCACTAAATAAGCTCATTGCAAGATTCAGTGACACTGTTCAAACTTCATTCACTTCCCTAGCTTGTGTGATAAAGCTGGATTGCCAAAAAAAAACCCCACACATCTGTTTGTCTGTTTTGGCTCCAGGAACATATAGGTCTGCATTATAGCTGATTAAGTTATACCTCATCGGACTGTGACTAATTGGGGAATGGCAATTTAGAGGGAATCGCCATTTTTTATATTAGAACATTTGTAGGGGTTCATCCTTTTCTTGCATAAAAGTCACAAAGGCTCACATTCTTCTTTGAATTGTCCACATGTTGTACACGAGTCGAGTAATTTTGAATGTCAGGTTTCTGGCAGGATTGGACAGGTAGAACCCAGTGAAGTGCAAGCAGGATTCGGAGGCTAGGTCGAAAAATCAAAACCACTTTACTAATATAAATTAAAAAAAGCTGACGTGACAGCCAGACCGTATAGGACAGATTAGATTTGGAAACACAAGGAACAGGACGAGCTCATACCCAACGATGCACCAGCAATCAGTGACACCCAGACTCAGACTTAAATACAGACATAATTAATGAAGCAAGTGCCAACACCTGTGGAGCGTCACAGGTGCAGGGAGACAGGCAGTGATGACAGGGAGAGCAGGACAAAAACACAATACAACAGGATACCATCCACACAGAATACAGTTTTGCAAGCAATGCACACAACAATAAGACTTTATTTTCAAAGATTGGTCACGAAAACATTGTTGCTTGGCTCTCTGGTCACTTGAAAACAATTGCTCCGAAAAACTGTAAGACTTTATCTTGTTTTTTTTCCTCAAATTTTTATGCAATTCTGAAGTGCCCACAAATTAAAACAAGTTAAAATCAACTTTATTTATAAAGTTAATTTAAAACAACTAGTGATGACTATATATATATATATTCAAGATGGCGCCCATGGAGTAGGAGGTGTTGACTGATGCTCCCTC